GCTGAAAACTCCATACTTGTACCAAAAATACGGTGTAAAATCAAGCTATAATCAAAAAAACTAATTTAGTTACATATTTTTGATATTATATGTTCATCTCATAACGCTTTAAACCTTAACAACATTTCAGTAAATTGAATATTCCCATAATTTATTCAGAACAAAATATTTAGAGCGAACAATTGTTTTCAATAAATTCTTCTTCAGGCTCTACAATTATAAAATCCACTAATTTAAGCATACAATAGCCAGTAAAGGCAAATTAGAATCATATCAGAAAGTGTATTGTGGAACAAGTATAAGATGGGATGGAACAATAGTCAGATAGTTTTTTAATATGCATGGTCAGTGAGAACATGGGACAAAATGAGAAGTATGTTCAACCTCTATGCTTACCTTGGCCTACCATAAAGCCAACAAATCCTCCATTAACACTATAAATTCCTTTCACAATTTTCTTTTCTTTCCTTCTTCTTTTATTCCTCTGTTTTATTGACAAACGTTCATTTTCGACTTTTATGATTTTATGACTTCATGACTTTTCTTATGATTTTATTACCTTAGGTTTAAATAGTGCTTTTCTAACTTACTATCATATTTACAAAATCCTGTTCATTCCACTTCATTATTATTATTTGACAATCATTCACCAATAGTGCTTGTAATTTTACACCATATCATCGTTATTATTTTACAATCATTCTTACTATCGTTATTTTCAACCTTGAACTTATGTCTAGTCCGCCCCATTCGTGGGTTTATTTTCATATTGTCTCACACACTCTCGAAACCTGTATTTCTGTTGACTATATTTATATATACACACATCATTAAATAAAATTACTTCATCTTATTTTATCCCATGTTCTCACTGACCATGCATATTAAAAAACTATCTGACTATTGTTCCATCCCATCTTATACTTGTTCCACAATACACTTTCTGATATGATTCTAATTTGCCTTTACTGGCTATTGTATGCTTAAATTAGTGGATTTTATAATTGTACAGCCTGAAGAAGAATTTATTGAAAACAATTGTTCGCTCTAAATGTTTTGTTCTTAACAATATTTATTGAGTGTATTAAGCCTGTTTAACTTAATCAGTTTGGGATAATTTCATATTAAGTCCTGCATGTGTCTAGTTATGTTCACTAATTAAAGCATTTTTCATATAACTTTGTGAGTTTCCATTTCGAAAAAGAATATCGTGATAAAAATTAAAAAAACAAAACAAAAATACGTGGACGTTACTGCAACTAAATCTTTAGTTCTGTGGAAGTGCCTTTTTTAATTTCAGTTGTAATTAGCGGATGACTTCATGCCATGTAGAAACTATTTGAAAAGTTAACACAATTGAAACTGCATTAAAAATTACAGAACAGCCACTTCTATAGGTGGAAATGGTAGATAACGGCCTCATCATCAGGATGTTGATTATAAAACAACTGCCAACACACTATACAAAAGCTGTTATAGACAATCAAAATTATAGCTGTTTTTTAAGTACAGCAACAATTCATTGTTCTGCTGTAGCTACTTTAGTAATTCTTGTGTGATTATATTACTAACAGTAGTTTCAGTAATCATTCGCTTTCCTATTAAATTCTTTTCTTTAACTTGAACTTCTATCTTTTCATGTTCAAATTAACTAAAATGACGAGCGGATGAGCAGTGAATTAGTTAGAAGTACACTGCACAAATACAGCATATTTTTAGATAAACTTTATAGTTGAATAAGGCCATCCAGTTTTACTAAAGGGACTCGATATTTTAAATAAAATTAAGTAACTAAACACATCACACAATGACATATTTTTCAGTGTACATGAAAATTAGTTTTGACTGAGGTCAGCTGTCAAAGCTTAAAAGATGCTGAGTTTTTGAAAGCTTTCGCCGAACGTGAATCCGCCGTCCTCAGATAAGTGATAAGCTCAGGGGACACCGTGGTTACATTTTTTTAATGATTGTTAATGCCACAATAATTATACGACTTTCACTGCCTGTACCTCTTTTACAAAATGTCAGCGTTTGTATGCTGTTCATCAAATGTACATATTCAGAGCTCACATAATTTACTGAGAAGCTGTTAACTTTGATTGGTGTGAGATGCCTGAAGTCAGCAATCAGAACCCTAAAGGGGCATCTGCTTAAGAAATTTTGCGGAAATCCACCGTGTTTCCTTCGACATTTCAACTCCGAACACTCTATTCATAAATTGAATTCCTTACCAATGACTAGCTACTATCAGTTGTGTAAGTTTATCATCCGAACGCCATACACAATCACATTATAATCCATAAACCTGCATAGCGCGTAATTATTATTTTCTATTTGAGCCACTAGCGTTGGTATTCATGCAATCCATAAAAAATGATTCTTGTGGATGGAAAAACATTCTTTCAAGATTAGTACATATATAAAACATTTTGAAATTCATAGCAAAATTAGGTTTGTCGAAACCTATGAACATCCCGTTGGACAAAAGTGCACAGTCCCTAATAACGTACTGGCTCCAAGTACGGGGCATCGATGACGACTCTAGACTAACCTGATTATATTTGGTCTAAAGTTTTTTCAAAAATAACAACTATTATCTGTCACACAAAAGATGGTACTGGAGTCCCAGTACCTTAGTGAATGAATCTTCAGCTTGGCTTTGGCTCTCAGTGAGAACATTCAGATGCAAGTATATTTAGCTAACAGTTCTTAAAAGGGTGAAACCTGCGTGCTGTACATCCGAATGCGAGCTACTTACTATCTGTGGTTAATTCTTTCCAATTAGTAAATCTGCTAATAAACTGCATTTATTTTGATACCAGATTGGTGAATTTCTAAACAAAATATTTTTATTACCGTTTTACCGTAAAAAAGAAGCTCTAATTAGGTAAGATACTGTTATGATTATCTTGATAGAACACATAACATCTTTTTTCTACTAATTATGATCTTCCTGCTTCTCTCTATGACTTATCATTCGCAAAACCACAAGCTTGAAATAAAGTATTAAAATAAACACCACTATGTAGGTAAATGTAAAGTTGAAATCGCCCAAAAACATAAGCATTTTAACTACTAATGAGCTGCTTCACACTTGAAAATTTACTAAGTTTGAATTTTGTTTTAATGTTAGTAACAGACATAACATGTGTCCATATTTAGAATGAGAAATAAATGAATAGGCTTTTGAATTAGTATATGCACCAGTTTTGATCAGTTCTATTCATCGACTTGTTATTTAACTAATTAAATAGTAAATCCTAATGATGCCCAGTTGATGCTGATTTCAGCTGTAATCCACTTCTCTTACAGTTAGTAAAAAGAAAGTCCAGTTTGTTAATATGAAATAATTACGAAAGTATCACTAACATGCTTCACAGGTCAACATTTCACTATCAAAAGATGAGTGTTTTCGAAATCATCTAACTGACTACATGATGAGATGATTTCGCTGTTCTATTATGAAGATAGACTGATATTCTGAATCAACTCTTGTGCTAAATAGTGGAATAAGCATGAATACCCTTGATATGTGATTCATTTGTCATCAGCGACAACTGTTTTCCACCACAGCATTGTATGTCAAGTGAGCGTAAGCTGTTTTTGATCATAGGTGCCTGCGTTCTATCTACCGTGTGAAATGGTATAATAGGCGTCGAGTGCTTGGTAAAGAGGGAAAATCAACAGACGAGGCTGTGAAATTACATAGATTGAGCTAGTTAGGACATGTGTTATGCATGCATGACTAGACATAGCCTTCCTCAATGGGCAGTGTTAGCTGACATATGATGGATCAGGTTGGAAAAGAGTTAGCCAGTGGTTGTCAAACCAAAACATAGCTTCATCAGTCAATGAAATCCACAACAGTTAGTTTAAGTCAGCCAGGTAGGAAGATGTACACTTTCTGGTTGGGGTCATCGGGACGGTAAACACCAATGGCTAGAGACATTTGATGATATGGCTTAAAATCGTCCTCAGTAGTGCGGATGCATCTACTCCTTGTGACTTAAAATTTCCAACAAAACTATATTGTTCTTTGATATTACTGTTCTTTTTGCCTCATATCTCTGTTCACTGTTTCTATTTTGAGTCTCTTTTTACTTTCTTCTTCTTCTCTGGCTTTGTGTGCTGAGTGAAGTGTGGCGACTCAAACTGCTGCAAATCAATGCAAAGTTCTATGTTGAGACCAGTCAGTCAGTGATTGTTAGGAAAATAATTATCTTTAAAATCGTACGAATATGGATTAATTTTGATGTAGATTTCGTCAAAAACGACACCCCTCACAGATCACTGAAAACCAGGGATCACTAGAAAAATGTTTCGTCATAGTTTGGGACTCCTCAGAAGTGCTCAAACATTACTGCACGTGAGACCGAACCCGGGACTTTCAGGTTATGCAACCAGGCTCGCTGACTATTCAGCCAATCAGGTTAGAATGAAGTGACCCGCGAATTTTCAGGACACTCATCCAGTAGTTACCAATGAGTTGGAGGTCGATATTTAAATTAAGGGTTTTTGTAGGGATGTGGATTAATTTCAACATATATATTTCATGACAAATTAACATCAGTTAGAGATCGTTGGAATCAAAGTAATTCATGGGTCATTGAATTCCCGCCAGAGTGACTGAATGGTCAGTGAGATTTGCCTGTTAAGCTGAAAGTCCAGGTTTGTTTTCTCATTGTGGTTTAGCCTGCCCACTACTAAGGAGTCTCCGACTAGGATAAAACTACTCTCCAGTGCTCCCTGGCTTTCAACGATCTGTAATGGCTATCGGTAAGTCAAAAAATCTGTAGTGAAATTCATCCCTAATATAAAAAAGTGCACCAAGAGTGTGTAAATTGATAGGCTGATGCAATTAACAAATATTACAAACTTCATACTATGCAGTTTCATTTTTTCATCATACGGTACATTTAAATTCATATTAATTGTTATTTTGTTAAGTATGTATCAAGCGTCTGAAAAAAACCTCGTTTTATTTTCATTTTACACCTTAGCTCTTCAGTGGCTTCAAATAGACGTTGGGCCGCCTACTTTAATAACTGGAGTCATTCTTAAATCGAGAGGAGATGTAAAAAATTCGCAGTATGTGTCACGTTTCAAGCTATCTTACAGTAATGATACACGTTTGTGGTACTTTTACAAGGATGCAGCTCCTTTAGACCCAAGAGTAGGTTACTTTCAATAAATTTAACCCTATTTGTAATACAGTCTTATAAAATCAAACAGATAAGTTTATCTAAGTGTTACAGTAAATGTAATGTAGTCTTTGAAATAATAATAAAAAAGACATGTGGCTGAGAATGAGAAGTGTTTCGTGCTCCCCAGTCTTTGCTGTTGGACCCTGGACATTTTATCATCAGACTTAATAACATTTCCAGCACTAACTTAATAAAATGATACCTGGTGATGATATATCTTCATCCAGGACAGTATTTATGTAATATACAGAATTTTTAGCGGTAATTATTGCATAATAGTTTCTATTTGTGCCAGATCTTTAAATAAAGAAGTAACTGACAAGAAGTCACATGGCACACTTCTCTCTGACCTGAAGTGAAAACCACTCTCTTATGAAATTCGAAGTTAACTGGTGGAGGGTGACTAGTAGTGGAATCCAGGGTCCGCATTTCGTCCTATTTGGGACTCGTCAACTGAGTGTACCTGTATTACGCAGTCAGTGGTGATGATGTTCCCACCGTCGAAGCATTGCACAAGAATTCGACATGTCAACCTGAGACCAAGCACTTCAGTCCAATCAATCGACGGGAAAATCTAAAATTGAATTTAATAAATAATCTTATGATATTTCTTCTTTGCCTCCTTCGAGAAATACACAACATTCGGTTGAAAGCCAATTAAAAGCGGCGCAGGAGTACATTATCTGACATAAGGACATAATAAAAATTGAATAACTGAAGGCTACAGATAAATACTTTTATTTCTCAGGAAGTAGCAGTTCGTACTAAAAGTATCTGCAACAGTCATCTCATGTACTGGGATACTTTGCTGCCCACAGATTTGCTTTTTCTCAAGTTTCTACTAAATTTGAGAATCCACGCGTTTTAGATATTCCAAAATACTCACAAAAGTAGAAGATACCATGAGAAGTCGCATTTCAATAGATTAAGGCAAACTGAACAGGAGAAGTTGTATGCAATATAATGATGGAGTAGTCCAGGATTTAAATAGACTGCCAATGATATTTACGACTGTCTGTCACCTGATTTGAAAATATACCAATGAAGTTGAAATTGTCTTCAAAACGGTAACAAGAATTAAAAAGGAGATATTTTTGCATCAGGTATTTCGTCGTCTTCACGACTTATTATTGAAATAAGTCCGTCAGTTGTGCAAAACACAGCCAGGTGTGTGTTAATGTGTTCGTACTCAATTGCGAACAATGTGTTTGCAGGCTCTTACAACTGGAAGTAATTGCTACCCTGTGAACGAATAATCTAAATTACATTTTTACAAAACAGTTACAATCAGAGAACCGAAGAAATTATTTGTAAATATAAGAAAAACAACTTAAACTATATACTAAAGCAACTATTTGTGTAATGTATATATTTACAGAAAGAGAGGTTGAGGCTTTCAGCATTACGATAGTAGACTAAACTAGATTCGGTTGACTTAGATTTCCTTAAATCCTGTTTACTGTGAACATGGAGTTTTGTGAAGGTGTGATGTAATCACAAAACATCTGCGTAATGTTAACCTTTTCCCTCGAAATCCGCTTTTAAAGTGTTTACTGTATATCTTTTGTTTTTAATAGCGTTATTAGTGTTAAACATTTTCTGACACTGAAAGCTCTTTATATAATCAGTAATTCAAGTTAATAACGTCTGGAAATCTCTATGATACACAGGTGTTTCAAGGGAATCTTCGTTTTCTAATACTTTTCCAAAGATACCAACATAAGTTTTAAAAGCGCGTAGGTCAGCAAAAGAGATTTTACTTTACGACGTCATTTCCAAGCGGTACACTCTCTTTGGGGATAAACACACACAATGTTAACTGACAACAGAAGTTAGAGGCTGTTATTAGTTAGTAATAAGATAAATCAAAGTGTATGAATAATAACAGTGTCTGAAAAAAGTGGATAATCTTATGTAATCGTGAGGGTTGACAACCAATTAGTTAGCGAATAATTATTTAGAAATAATGGATAGGAAACAAGAGAAGGGACTGAAAATAAGTTACAAAAATAGAAAATAAAATGGTGTTTATTGAGTTTATTTTACGACGATTTAGGAAAAGAAGAGGCATTCAGCGAACAATTACTCTTTTTTTCGGTGATATCAATCTCAAACTGTGCAATCACATATTCGATAGTAAATCGTCTTAGCAACAAGATGAATATTTGAAAGATTCATCATTAGAATTGTAAATTTCAGATGACAGATTGCGTAATGCAGGAAGCGTTAATCAGGTAGAAACTAAAATAAAATTATTAGAGTTGTAAATTTTAGATAATAAATTTCGTTAATGGGTTAGAAATTAAAGTAAGATTAAACAAGCAAGTTAAGTGACGTAATCTAACTGAACAAAAGTCAAGATAACAACAGTGGTAATAATGAGTAGAGATTTATTAAGCGGTGGGACTGGGAAAAAAACTGATACTAAAGCCATGATGATAAAAGAGGCTGGAAGAAACGAATATAAAGCTGAGATTTCTCCACATAGTTTATTGAAGCTTCAGCTAAATGAAGACGTAGGCAAAATCCTATTGAACGGCTTGATTCTACTTTACATACGACTCTGAATAAAGTCTCAACTGTTGCTATGCAACCAGAAGTGATCAAATCAAACATATTCAAATCTTTAATTCATGAAGCTTGTGAGAGTCACTTATTTTAATTCACGAAGCATGGTTGATTCAGGTGCAATAAACAAACAGATTTCCTGCCTAACAAAGTTCACGAAGATTTTGCATATCACATTTTACTGAAAAATTCTAGAACCTGAAAGAAGATTTTGAGTTTTAATTCACTAGCGTAAGTAAAATAGACAAAGAAGTTTGTTGGAATATCACTTGCACAATATTTTTTATATATTTCCCTCCTTCTGTGTCTTAAAGACCTGATCATAAAGGAGGTTCAGGGCTTCACAAAAAAAGAACAATGAGAATTCTTTTCTGTGGCTGAAGAATATACACAAAGACATATTTTTAAAAAGTGATTTTTTTGAATGTTTTGCAGAAAAATTGAAATACTGAAAAATTTGTTATTTTTCTCATCTTTAACTCTCAACTAATTTGTATTATTTCGTGTTTTCTTTTCTATTCGTTTATTTTCTTGCATGAACCTAAATACTGTCATTACAATTGCATACTACGAAAACTAAATACATGAAATCATTGCTTTCTGTTGAAATTTGATTTTGTTTTTATTACCCTGCTCGCCTTGGATATATTTAATTTTTATTTTATTCCTTATTTTGCTTGTCACCTTTGCTTTTATTTTGATCGCTGAATGACACCTGTGTGTTTTATACGTTAGTCCACTGTATGGTCATTTGAATGGAGTCAAAAGATGAAAGAATCAGATACTAAGAGGAAACCTGATAAAGTATGATAGTTTAAATTATAATCTGGATAAGACTTTTATACACGTATAAATATTTATGCATATGGGAATTTCATGTGTTAATTTCTAGGGATTTGATTGGTTCCAAGCCTGATTACGGATTGATATCAGTCACAGGATCTTTAGAAACCAGGGAGTACTGAACAGTTATTATAAACTAGCTTTGGACCCTACAGCAGTACACACTCGTTACGCCGACGGGATCGAACCCGGGAACTCCAGCTGGTTGAAAGTTCAGCCACTGAGACGAAATCTAATAGCCTGCGAATCCTAACTCCTGTGCGTCGGTGGCACAGTGGTTAAGACGCTTGCCGACTGTGCACATGGCCCGGGGTCGGACCTACTGCCGACGCACACCTGAAATCAATGGTTGGCCTACTAAATTTGGGCTACCGATATCATATGCTGAAAATTCCATACTTGTACCAAAATACGGCTTGGAATCAAGCTATAATAAAATAATATATATGTCAGTTTATCATCCTACAATGAAAGTTGTACTTCAATATTCATTTTCGTTAATCCCATCCCATTTCTAATTTTTCCCATGTTATTCCTGTTGTATTGCATGACCGAACCACAATGTCATATTTTTGCAGCTTTATATTCGAAAATTCAAAGTATATTGTAGGAAAGTGAATCAATCTGCCAAACATTGACTAAATGAGCTCTATTCCCAATGCCGCATACACACCCAAAAACCAGCTTATGAATTATAATGCTTAACACGCGTGTACTTCTCACACAGATCTATTTTTATTTTGTCACATATTGATAGTATACTGGCAAAGTTATTGACACTTCCTACTGCTTTACCCATCACTAATTACTCGGTGAACTTAACGCATATGATGGTGAATTTTCGGCGAATTTCTTAAAAAATCACTCTAACCTCAGATTTGTTGACAGTCGATATTTTTTCTTAGCTTAAACTGAAAATTTAACAAAAGAATAAGAGTGGATTACTGTCACTGCTTCTTTTTGACAGTTAACTTCTAATCAGTCATCCCCGATTTCACCCTCTTGTATAAATGAAGGCACAAAGACATATTTTGTGAGTAGTTCAGTGTAAATGGCAGCAGCCAACAGTTTTAAGAAAGAAAGAAAGGTAAAATAATACATCAGGGTGAAATTATGTACATTTAAAACTTATCAAATAAAACCACAATCAAGGATGAGAAATATTTAACTGTTCCTAGTTCGTCTAGACGCTACCTAAGGTGGCCTACACTTCCGAGTATTGAAGTAAAAATGAAAACCTTAGCTTGATGAGTGAGTGTCTATTTCATTTCTCATTCGTTCATAAACAAAAGAATGAAAAGAATTTGAGCACAGAGGTTATTTTCATTCCAACACTCTAAGGACTTTTTCGATATAATCATGGAGGCCATGATTTACTCCATAATCATACGGTCTGAAAAAATTAAATAGATTCGCTCTTAGTGTAAATAAACGTAGAGAAAGACGAATTAAACATTACATAAAGCTCCTTTTATTTCTAATGAAACTGCCTTAAAGAGTCTCTTCATAAGGGGTAGAAGAATACTCATGAGATAATTACGAACGGTGAGAATGTGACTTTTCATGTTTACTGATTTCATGTTACATTTGGCTTTGAAGGTAACATTGGTGTTGTAATGGGAGACATTAAATAAATTTCTTGGTGCCTTCGGGGTTAGATTTTGATAAATTCTAAGCGAGTATGTGCATCACTTTCGGGAAGGGGAATAATACATGACGTAACAATTAAACTATCAGATGTTGAGCTTTCTTTCACAGGAATAAAAGGCGACATATCACTGCCTAACTCAATTTTCCTTAATGGATAACAAGGTCCGTGTGGACTTGGAGATAGATGTCTACCCAAAGGTGTAACAAGTTTTCTACTATAATGACTTATCTGTTATTCGTCATGGTAATCTAACTCATTAAACTATCAATATATGAGCATAATTATTGTCAAGTATTTTGTTTTTATTGCTGGTTCCTCGCGTCCTGCCTGAAACATTGGCATTCAGAGTTACATTTCCATTCCATTCGGTTCACTGGCTGTAGGACTGCCCACAAGCTTTCATTTCCTATTCATATAATCTTTTCCGTCACCTTCAGAAATCCAACTAGTCTGTCTGTTCGGCTTCCACTTGAGGGCTTGGTGTCTCCTCAGTCTATTTTCAGTCCATTAGTTAAATTGACATCTGTGGTGCCACTTGATAGCACTACGCTCAGCTGCAGTTACTCCATTCATTGCTCTGCTGCGGTCGTTTACATACTAAAGGCTTTTCTGTGCAATATTGCATATACGCTTAGTATTTATTCAGTCTTCTGTCCATTTGACCTTGTTAGTCACATGTGTAAAACAGACTCACGCATATATTATCACTGTACACTTTTAGAATGTAAAATTAACTAATGCTAGAATCGCATTTTTGCTCGAAACTTGAGATTTTGTATTCACTGACAGTTTTAAGAGTTGAAAAAGGACATTTAGCATAATTCCTCAGAAATACATCCTCAAGATAACTTGTTTCACCACTAAGATGGGATTTTTTCGTTTAAAATGTACCGTCCAATTTAAGCTTAATCACATCTATTACGTTAGTTGATGTGATTTTAAGAAACAAAACGTATTATATGATTAGTTTTGAAGTATAACATATCAGACAGAATCTGAATTTGGACATTATTTTCACTTGTTCGTTTGCAAGGATTAGATAAGTTTCAAGTTTGATCACGGACTGACTTTAGTCAGAGAATCAATAAAACCAAGGAGTACAGAATAGCTGTTTCGTCCAGTTTTGGAACTCCTCAACAGAATACACTCATGACCTTATCGCAAATCCAACCTAGGATCCCCACGTTACTAGGTGAGCCTGTTGATTAATAAGCGTCTTGGATGGAAATACAATGGCCCATGATATCAATTCATTATCTAACTTCATACTAATAAAAACCCTGCAAACCAGCACAGAATTAATTTGTTTGAGGTCCTGGTCAGAATTCTTGACTACTGTAGTCCTCCAAGTCAAATATGAGGACATACACTCGTTGATGACACTGATTCGAAGTGGCACTACATATCACGAAGTAGCAGAAGTTAGGACTGGTGTGCTACGGAATTCCGTCTCAGAGGATGAACAGTATACAGCCTCATCTCTCAATCTGGAGGTCCAGCTTTAAATTCGTTGTGAGGACATGTGTGCGCACTGCTGAGGAGCCTCAGGATTGGGGCAGAACATCTGTCAAGCACTTCCTAGTTCTCTGACGGAAGTTTATCCGCCACCTAACCTGAAATTAAACAATAGTTGTGGTTAATCACCTTGTATTTTTATTTCTGCTTTGTGTGACCCGCCAGAATTCCTTAAAATTTCATTGTACAACCATTATTAGTACAAATCTAAACAGATTTTGGTGACAAAAATAGTCAGTTTGTACCAACTTGCTGAATGTCAGATGACTGGCGTGATAATAAATGCTTTATTAGTGTGCTTTGTTTTTCGATACACACACTAGCCATCTCATGAATTCATTAAGCTGGAATGAACACTATTCCCTATACTCACAGTAACATCAGCATGTATATAATTTGTGAATATATTTCAGTTTTCGTTTGGTGAGCATTTTTGTTTTCCTTTGATTTACTGCATTATTTTTTTTGTTGTTTTAATTTTCTCGATCAAAGTTTTAGTTAATTTTAGTTCACAAAAATGTTTTGGCATGTTTGTAAAAAAAAATATGATGACAATTAGAATTGGTGCATAAAAATTTTGATTTTTTTCTCTTAATTTTCATGAACAAACCAATCATCAAATCAAATTACCAAAAAAATATTCTCTTTGAAAGGTATTCGATGGTAATAATGAGCAGGTATCTGAGCGTGTGCATTATTTGGCAACACCATTTGTTGCTCGTTATGTGCGTATTCATCCAGTTAACTGGCGAAGTCGTATAGCAATGCGTGTTGGTCTAATCGGCTGTAAACAGAAAGGTTCATGTGGTGCTGGTTTCTTTAGAATCAATAATGAAAGTTCTTGCGGTAAGTGTACGATAGATTAAACTATAAAGTATCTAAGTAAAAATTGTCGTTCATTTTCATATGTGAATATATATATGTTAAACCTACACAGTTTCCGCCTAATATGAGGCGTAAAAGGAAGATAAACCCATGTTGCTTAAATAGACAGAACTATATGTACATCAAAATGATTTGTTAAAAATCAGGAAAAATATATCTTTTTATATTCATTGAAATACCCCATTCTTTTCTCAGTCCATTATTCTTTTTTATGAATACAAGAGTTGATGCGTTTTTCTGTAGAAAAACAACTTTGTTTTGTCACCCAACAGTCTTAAAGACAGCAGTGTGATGAAAGGGGTCTATTAATCTTTCCATTACATCAACCGAAATCTTCAGCTGGGCGTAAATCTAAAAAACGCAAGACTCGTCTAAGGCACGGTACTCGAATCGTCAGTTGTCTGGGCGATTAGCCATCAAAAGCATTTTTAAGGTTAACGTTTTAGAAAAAATTTGTCAAAATAATCTAAATTCTCAAACTAAGAACTCACAAATACGCAGCGCATGGTAAAAGAACTCTGAGAGAGGATGGAACATAAGGGAAACATTTGCAGCACATTCAGTTTAATCATAGCGTGAGTATAACTACAAATACGTTCTAAACGAGATAGTTCCATTGAAATGGATAACTATGATTGCAGGAGGGATAACTCAATAAACTCCATATAACTTATTCTACTTTTTTGGAATACGAAGCACCAAGCTATTGACGTTTAAGTAACAAAGGTTTTAATTGATTAAAATTGCCCATTAAAATTTTCAAAAGAATAGACACGGAACAAAGAGTACTCTTTTCGATAAATTCATCATCAGATTCTACAATTAAATATGCATTATAATGAATGAATTAGTCTTATGAACGACACTGATGATGTTTAAATAACATCGAATCAATAATATTGATAAATTACAGCTGAACAGCATCAACATAAAATAAGCTGAATGTCAGAAGAATTAGGAAAGGTAATGGTACAAACTCATGAGTTTATAGTCTCTACTGAGGGCCAGGGCAGTAGCAGGGGCTGGACTTGTTTCTTTTGGACACAGAGCGCTGGTTGTTTGAGGCGAATTGCAATAGCCTCTGCTCTTTGGAGCATGCGGTGCTTCGACGATTTTGGTAGTTTGTTAGGCACCCGGTATATTATGGAGAAGGATTCGTCTACGCTGGCTTTGTGACCGGTTTGCACCAGATGGTCTAATATCGAGCTGTTAATAGTTTTAACTACACCTTTACTTAGCCATAGTGGGATATGTTCTCGAGCACGAAAAATCAAGTTTTTACGGTGTGTCGTTGCCAGCCTAAAGCCTAAACTTCTTTTTTGTGGGGCTTACTATCGACTAGTATAGTAGGCGGTTTAACAGTGCATCGTCCGGGAATTGAACCTGGTCCATGTTTGTAGCTGCTGAGCATTCTACCAGTGAACCGCCAACGTGACTTGTTCTACTTGTTAGTAGTATAATGCAGAAGATAAAAAACAAATCGGAGAGAACAGATTAGTAGAGGTTAGTTAGGAAAGGAATTAACAAATAACCATGGCAAAGTAGAATTATTAAAATGTTGAGAAAAATGAGAAGGAACAAGAATAAATGGGGATAGCAAAGAAGGTGCAGCTGTTTTACTCCATATAATGAATACTGTATATACTAAAAGGGAGTATGTATTATATTTCACACTGAACTTGCTTCCTTACTACCATTTATGATCATGAATTGTGACCTTAAGACTTTTGTACTTTCAAGTATTGGTTTTGAAGGGATTTTGTTTGATTGGATGGAGGATTTCATCATGAGCTGACATTGGTTAGAGAACCACTGGAAAACCTGGTAGTACTGGACAGTCGTTTCGTCCTAGTTTGCGACTGTTCACCAGTACGCGCCCACCTTGTAGCTAGAAGGCCTTGAGTTCGATCCACGGGGGATGCGTACTGTTGAAGAGTCCCAAACTTTTGTATTTCCAAAGAAAATCTTGTATAAGTTTGACCCCAAAACACAACATTATCTAATAGTAAATTTTACTCTATTTTACGAAATTATTTTTAATTTCTCTGCATAAATTAAAACTTAAACTTGGGGGACCTGGACTTCGCCGATGATATATGTCTGATAACCCACAAACTGGAAGATATACAAGCGAAAAGCAACAAGTTAGCAGAAGAAGCATCAACGATTGGACTTCAGGTGAACATAGAGAAAACAGAAGTAATGAAGATTCCTGGCCAACACCACCAACAACAGACAACAATCAGCATAAATGGGAGGAACCTGAAAGAAACAACCTCCTTTACCTACCTGGGAAGCATCGTTTCAACTACAGGCGGACAGAATTGACGAGGATATCAGAACGAGGATCCGGAAAGCAAGGCAAGCTTTCATTACTCTCAAGTCTGTGTGGAGGTCGACAGCACTACTCAGCATCAAAAATAAGATCCGGATTTTCAACTCCAGTGTGAAGTCAGTCAGTGCTACTATAGGGATCAGAGACTTGCACTTCGCGTCATAAAGAGCATCTCAAGCAAACTACAAACCTTCATTAACAGTTTTCTTCGCTCAATACTCAAGATCAGATGGCCGGCCACAAAAGATCAGCAACAGAGATCTCTGGGAGCGAACCAACCGGGAAGGGATTATCAAACATATAGGCAGGAAGAAATGGCGATAGATTGGCCATACTCTGAGGAAACCATCAAGTGACATCACTAGACAAGCCATTGCTCGAGTGGAACCGGAAAGGGAAGCGGCGAGTTGGTCGTCAGTGCAAGGGTGACTTGGAGGAGGTCATGTGAAGAGATGAAAACGTGTGGACAGACTTGGATCCAGGTGAAGACTCTAGCATAGAACCGAACGCAATGGAGACGCACGGCTGAAGCCCTATGTCCCTCTAGGAATTAAAGGAAACAATAATAATAAATTAAAAGTCGAGTCATTGTCTCTCAGGATACTTGGATGACTATTATCTTAACTCAAACTTCGCGCTGAGACAACTTCAGACAGTCGTAGGTTGATAGACTGTCATAGATGTATTGTGTGTTGACTGAGTGTGAAACAAAGTCTTGATCACGGCACTATTCCAACCACGGACCTCCGAATTACTAGTGGTCCCCTCTGTCAGATAAACTGCGTGACTCAACTGTGCGTTGGTAGTCCAGCGGTGGAATACTCGCCAACTACGCCTCACATGACCTAGGGTTCGATTCCCAGTCGGTGCTACATAGATTGTGGCGACTTGAACTGCCGCACATATGTGCAAAGTTCTATGTCGAAAACCGACCGACCGACCCAGTCGGTGCACTCCTATAATTTGCTTAATTGACGGTAAACCCGGGAAAAGGGGAGATTAGCAGCTTCAGCACGTATAAGATTAGACCATTGCTACTGAAACTTGAAAGCTGAAGCTCGAAACCCCATATTGCACTCGGAACGCAGAGGAATAAAATAATAATGAAAAAAACATGAGCTAACTACTTAACAGGTTGTCATTTCACTGCATTCAACAGTTGGTAATGCTTGGCTCCCATGAGTATGAATGATACGTTACAATCTATTTGTCATCGCGCCAGTTGTTTAGACTTTTACTTCACCTTTTCTGAAAGAAATGATAGAAACTAATCCAAAAGAATGTAGGTGAAATAAAGCACATCTCATTCTCTTAGTTTTATAAATATCCAAACACTGTATTCACTTTCTAATTTCTCCAGTTTTGAACTTTAATCAGAGCTACTCATTTTAATTTTAAACTCACATTTCCAATGAATTATTTCCCGTCTAGTTGCTAATCTTGCCTACAAGAAAAACGCCTGGTTAACACCGGAGTCCTCAAATCATCGCAAAAGAAATCTACCAGATTCAGATAAATCGCTACATCCACTTGATTTTACCAAAGGAATAAGAAATTCTTTAACTTCAGAAAATCCTTCACATTTTCAATATTCTGAAAACCAACGTCCACCTATGTTGGCGCATCATAGAATCAGAGATAATACTGTAAATTCAAAAACACTCAAGTTTAATAATATACCGTTGTGGTCATCAGTTGACAGTATGATAAATGAACCATACATGGGTGACAATGCTGATGGTATGGCATTATTAGCTGTTGATGGATGGACAGGTGAAGAAATACTTTTGAAAAACTCAACACTTTCAACACGATCGTCAGAAAAATTAATGAATGATGCTCCAGATGGAAAGCACCTTACAAATGATAGTTTGAATAGAAGAGGGCTAAATGACATACACCAGTCAGCTACAAATCTGCAGAAATCTGCTCATCCGTGTACAATACTTGAATACCGCTGGCCCTTCGTCGAGTTACCATCGTGGTATGTGGACCTGAGAGAACACACTGAAGTGAATGGAGTTGTTATTTATACAGCAGGTCATGGAAGAGGTCAGTTGCTTTTTGTATGAGATATAAGTCAACAAATGCAATATTTGATTCTATCCCTTCAGGTTATTGTTTAGAATCTAGACGAAAAATATTATTATTATTCAGCTAATGAATGCTGCTTGATTCTCAAAATTCTGATAGAAAGTGTGACAATTCAGAATTTTTCTAAACGCTGAACTATTTAAGAACAGAATAAAACTCAAAGTTGAGTTTCAAGACCTAGGGCTATTCATATTAGCTAGGACCTGTAAATTATGGGTTCTTGGGGGTCCAAGGTAGAGTAACTTGTATTTATCTCTTTCTATTGTAAACATTCAAAAATTGTCAGTTAGATAGGGACAATCATCAGGAGACATTAACCATTCGTGTTAAGTATGGGAAGTGTTTAGTTGGATTGTAAAGGATATTCCAGTCTGAGAAAAATTTTTATGGTGATGATGTTGATTAAAATCGAAGGCTAAAACTACAGTTCAGAAAGCCACTTTTAATGAGATCTTATTTGCTGACAAATGTCGCCATAAAGTGAAAACCCAGTTGACTTTATTCGGTAGTTAGTGACTAGCAGTTGAATCTACGATGCACATTTGGTCCTATTCGCTTTGGTATTTGAAATAATGGGTGCTGAGTTCGAGCTTCAGTGGAAGCAAAATCATTCACTGGAGTGTGCAGTATACCCAGCTGAAGGGTCTCAAGTATTACTAAGCGCGCAAACTAGTCACCGTCTACTAAATAACGTCATCGTGGAAACGTTCCTACCGGGAGCTGATATGTTAACAGAGGCCGAACATTTCGGTGTAATTCATTAACAGTTAAAATAAAATTGGCTTCAACAAACCCGAATGGCTCGTTATTTAAACTGTTCCTTATGATCTTCCCTACAATATGATGCTAATACTAATGAGATATTTCGTGTCTACTGACATGTATAGCTACTAGAGCACCATTCACAGTTATTTCTAAATTGTCTAACATCAACGGTTTTCATTTCAACTAAAATAAACGAAGATTAAAAACGGTAAATCATGAGCCAACCTTGTGAACTAAAGTTTTCTTCACCTTATTGTATCCAGCACATTACTAGGTTATTCAACGCATAAGATTCTTAAGTAGCTGAAACTTTGAACAATTGTCTCCATAGCCTAGTACTACCCCAGATACTATCAGTCATTTTATTAACAGGTAAGCTTAATCAAAGGCTCCCAGATTTTCTATCTATCAACTATGTTTTATGATGTGATAATTAGAAAATGAAGACCACTTACGTCTAAGTCAGTTTTGTTTTTATTGCCGACTGACTGAACCAAAATGTTTGGCGTCTAAATGGGCGCCCTGAGGATGTCTAAGGATAGACTTGATGTTATTTGGTGGATGGTGATTAGCAGTGGAATCCAGGATACGTGTTGCATCCTGTCTGGGACTTGTGAGGTGGATTTAATGGCAATCCGCAGTAAGTGATGTTGTTCCCATTGAAGGTACATGCAGCTAACGAGTCCAAAGTTGGACGTAATGCGCATCCTGGATTCCATTGCCAGTCAATACCCACCATTAAAGTGTTGAGGCATTACAATAAAATCTTGAAAATCTCGAATAAGTTCACCTATTAATTTTAAAATCTATTTTATATGTTTCTTGCTGAACTTTTTTCTTTTCATAATAGATGGAAGATATCTACTTTCATTTCTATTCGGTAATGAAGATAAAAGTAAATTGAATTCTGAGAATTTAGAAAGATTATCTATTTATGTTGAATCAGAACCACGTCATCGAGATTCTAAAACGCTAACTAGATCAAGTTCTAGTTTATGTGGTTATGTTACACGATTAAATGATGCAATATTCAATCCACGCTTACATATACCATGCAGACAACCATTACTTGGACGATATGTTTATGTTGAAGCTCGTGGAGTTCGTGGAAGATGGTCACAGGAGTTTGCAGCCTTACTGTGTGAAGTAATGGTGTATTGAAAGCAATATGACTTTATATGCAATCATAATAAACGTTAATTATGCATTTATGTCTATAATCACCTCATTAAAACACAAATGTTATTACCTCTAAATGAACAGTTATGCATGAATAATTTTTATATGCCTACAAAACATTTAAAGCTGAAGTGAAGTCTATTTTGTCGCTTTCTTGTAACTGTCTATCTTCTTACATTTTCATATTCCATTGGTCTACTGCTACATTTCATGTTTATGTTTAGGATCACCTTATCCACGTATCTACATATATATATGTAAAAATATGGAAACATGATTATATTTAATATTTCACAATTGAACTCATCTTAGTTATCTGTTTTATGGTAGAACACATGACTTCTTTAAATCGTAACCGATTGATTGTTGAACAAGAAAGCATGTTAACTTAAACAAAACTTAACGCATACACACATATACGATTTATGATTCACCTTAATTTCCCTACTTATTACAGTAATATACGCATACATTAATTCTAAATTCGAGTTAAGAGATCGTGGTCGATTTTATTTCATAGACATAAATGTAAGTAAATATATAAACTTCCTAATCAATTTGGTCTACTTCTGCCTTTTCTAAGCTAATGAAAACTGGAGATCTGATTACAAACTCTGAACACATTATATGGTTATAGTGAAAGTTATATTTTACATAGATAATCGCAAAGTCTGCATAAAAGTATTAATCCTTTTTCACTCTGATGATTTCAGGTAATTGTCACAATAATACTTCTTATAAAAAAATGTAGCTATAGTTCTCATCATTTAAACATTAGAGGCTGAGGATATTGACGTTCACGAATAGTACGAAGTATACTAACGCAAGATCTAATACCCACAACTTCTGTAGTATTCGTTCCATGTAGACCAAAGGTAAAGTAAAACACCAGAATTGATTGTCCAAATTACGAGATATATTTAGGGACCAAATCGGAGTACGAGATGATTGCTTAGCTAGCTAGGGATCGTGCACGAACGTGACACGACGGAGTACCAAATGGCGTGGATGCTTGACTGGAAGCCTCTAACTAAACAAGTTGGCTAAATTAGTGAGGGTCAACATCCAATGTTCAGTGATGAATGCTGTGGCCAGTAATTTTGGGGAATTATTTACCGCATCAAAACATTAATAATATGACGAATGAACGATGTGCACACGTCAGTCTAATCTTCTAGGTTAACAGTCTCTCTTGTGACACCACGGAATTAAATACAAATACATGGAATTTGGGGTGATCATAGTCTAGGAATCAGTAATTAACTAACTACACAGGAGACTGACAATCACATAGTTCCAAATATGGTCCTAAAATAGAACTTATTCAATTTCATGAAAACTGGAACTAGGTGTTGTACTCTATTTTACAGATTCATACCTTTTATCCTGAAGCGTGTACTTAGGTATCAGATGGTTGATGCACTAGATGGTGTAGAATCTTATTAGGGTGATACTTTGGTTTACAGAGAGGATATTATATTGCATGTTGAATACTTTCTCAAACTGTCCAGAGGAATCAGTTAGTCTCTTGGTCATCTGAATCCGGGCATCTTCACTAACCAGTCATCTCTTGTTGAGATCAAGAATTGATACCGTAAAGTTTCACTCTATATTTGTTTCTAGTTTAGCCCATTTCTCACTTCTATCTTTTGACAATGAATTTACTTAACTCTGCATACCTGAACAACGCTATTATAATCATTATAATAAAGGCTTTTGCATTTCCCAATGAATGAAAAACAAAACGATATTGTTGCTCTTACTGACCTTTCGCTATTTAATACCGCTAATAGCTTTATCAAAGTATTATTAAACCAGAATTTACAAAATCTCAGCATATATATAACAAACAGTTAAGAGGTGAGAAAATAGACAAATTCGGTCAAGTTAAAAGGACAAATTGAAAGTCAAAATAACAATGAAGATCACTAAACCAAATAATAAAGGTAATAGTACATCTGTTATGGTATCAAAATAAAGTTTACTAAATTGATCATCGTTCGTTAGTCTGGGGTCATTTTTCGTTGTCAAGTTGGTCATTTGGTAAAGATAATAAAATCAAAGGTAGATTGTTGGATTTGATCAGTGTTTAAAATTATACAGGCAGTATGTGTTTACATAGTGAACTTGCATATCACATTCGTGTTGATTTTGTCGCTTCATGGGGGAGGGAGGTGTTGTAACCAGGTCAGATTTTGTTTTAGTCCATCATTCCTATTCAGGCAATTTGGATTCCACATGATATGAAGTGCTTCTGATATTAGACTTCTTTGTGATTTCTGAAGTTTCTCTGGATTATTTCAATATTGTCAAAATCGATTTTGTGACCTGATTCTATAGCGTGCAGAAATATGGCTGATGATTTTTCAAGCTTTTCTAGTTCAGCCGGATTTCTCAGTGATTGAACAGATGCTCTACGAAGTTCATTTCTTCTGATTTGACAACGAAAAATGACCCCATACTGAAGAACGATGATCAAGTTAGTAAACTTTGTTTTGATATCATAACAGATGTATTATTACCTTTGTTATTTGGTTTAGTGATTGATCTTCACTGTTATTTTGACTTTCAGTATGTCCTTTTAACTTGACCTAAGTCTATTTTCTCACCTCTTAATTCTTTGTTATATATATATATATAGCTGAAATTTCGTAAATTCTGGTTTAATAATACTTCGATAAAGTTATTAGCACTAAATAGCGAAACGTCAGTAAAAACAATATCGTTTTGTTTTTCATTCATTGGGAAATGCAAAAACCTTTATTATAACGAATAGCATATAACCAATGCCCAAATTTTTTCAAACAGTTAAAAGTGAACTTGGTTTGGACATATATAACGCTATTATAATATCAAATGAAATACTGTGAATTTTCCAAATAATTAAGCTTTCGTGAGGCCTTTCTCATCAGGCATAAATCTAATATTTAAGATATTTGTTTTTGCATTGAGTACAGACGCATGAGAAGAATAAAAAAAATGAGTAACTGGTTATTACATTTCACAACACTTGAGTAAGCATAACCACAGAAATGTTCATGAAGTATGAAAGTTGCACCAACCTTATTCTTGGCAATAGGCTGTCTGTGTTGAACTTTCTAAGCCTTTAGCCGACTGTGTTCAGTTTCTACAGATCTTTTCGACGTATTCAATAAATTGTAATCTCATATCTCCTGGATGGTTGAAAAGCTCTTGATTATGTTAAGATTTCTAAATCAAATCCTACAAAAATTGAACAGTAGCTTAGAAATCCCCATTGAGTCATATGAAAAAGAGAAGACATTCAGCGAAGAGACTCTTTTCGGTGAATTCATCCACATAGCTGTATAATCGCATTTATATACAATTATTTTTGTGTGCGTACATGAGGTTTGTCAAGTTTAGATAATTAATCAGGTAGTACAAGAATGATCTAATGTAGAAACAAGGTTAATTAGACAGCAACTAAAATAAGATTGAGTTAGTAATTTAGATGACGTAATATAATTGACTAAAATGTTACAACTTAGGTCAGGATAGCAACAGAGGTTGTAGTGACCCGTTTTATTACTCATCATAGTACTATACTTTCATTATGTAATTGTACTTCGATTTGTTTATTACTCTAAATCATGCATGTTAACAATTGATACTTTTTGTACTCGCTCGATTTTTGAATTTTGATTGCTGCAATAATACACTGTCGTATTCCTTCGCAAGTGCCTTTTGAATTACGTTGTGGATGTCGAGTAATCGCAACGTTAGGACACAAATATAAACGCGAGGAAGTACTAAGATATACGTGTATTCTAGTTCAGTCAAAATAGAGCAGCAACAAATTGGTGAGCCCTACGATAACTTGCTGACTCCGACTCCGACGACTTTTGACCTCGACGCGTTGTTACACTTGTTGGATTAATAAAACTTTAACTTTCGTGGATCTATATATTTATTACATATTCCGAACTCTTTCTTGTGTTTGCTCATCGCACAACCTGCAGTAATTTGTGGTAAGCACCTGCATTGCATTTTTCTGTTTTGCCATATTCTTATTGTGCACAAATTTTGCTATTTTGTTACTCTTAAACCATTTTTTTACGAATTGTAACATGTCTTCGAATACCTCTGATAACTTAGAGCTGGGATCTGTTAGTACTATTTCTCTTACTGTACCAGTTTTTAAGCCCAGAGACCCTCATCTTTGGTTTGCTCGACTGGAACATTATTTGGCTAGCAATAAGCTCACGTCACAGACAGCTAAATTTGGCATTTTGAGTACAGTACTACCAGACGAAGTCGCCGAGCAGGTACGGCAATACATCGTTCATCCCAGCACAGAAGCACCTTACGACAAGTTGAAAGAAGAGGTACTGCGATGCACTTCGCTTTCAGATAGGCAAGCACTCGATCGCCTGTTAAGCAATGTTGAGTTAGGTGATAAAACCCCATCTCAACTCATGAGGCATATGCAAAGCCTAGTTGCCGGAAGAGAAATCGATAAACGTCTCTTTTATCAAATTTGGCTGCGACGACTTCCTCAAAACATCCAGCAGGTTCTTGCCTTCGGAGACGACGACATTGACATAGAAAGGCTCACTGAAATCGCGGATCGCATGTACGAGAGGTCAACACCTCAATCTATCGCTTCCACTAGCAGAATACCAGATAAAGTTATCACGATAGACCCACTGAATAAAGCAGAAGCCATCAGAGTCGACAAAACGTCAAACGAACGCATAGAAGCCTTAGAACGTAAAATCGACGTGCTCACTGAGCAATTAATGGCAATGAGGGTTAATAGACAACCTACCACAACGTACAGAAGACAACGTAGCCACTCACGCAATAGGCGTAAATATAGCTTACAACAGAATATGTGCTGGTATCATCGCAAATTTCGGGTACACGCAAAACGGTGCACACAACCTTGTGCTTTCCAACAAACGGTGGCGTTGGGAAACGAAAAGGCCGGCGGTCGGTGACGACTGCGGTCGCTGGCCAACACACGTCCTACAGCCGTCTATTCAGAGTGACAGACAAAACAACGGGGGCACAATTCCTGGTAGATACCGGTGCAGAAATTAGTGTAGTTCCCCCAACACCCAACGAGCGCTTACAACCAAACCCAGCATTAGTTCTCAAGGCTGCGAAAAATTCTACCATAAAAACATTTGGAACTCGGAGGCAAAAACTTAATTTTGGATGCAGTACGCCATTTGAGTGGGAGTTCGTAGTCGCCGACGTAACCTTTCCTATCATTGGAATAGATTTTCTTCAACACTACGAATTGCTAGTTGACTCTAGTCACCATAGATTGATAGATACCAGTCGTAAACTATCGATTTCAGGCATCTCCACAGATGTCGAGAGTATTCGCTTGATGGTAGCCACAACAGATCAATTATCCAGGTACGA